ACAAAAAAGCAAATGCTATACTGGGTTTTATGAACAGGAGAATTACCTGAAAAACATGAGTTAATCCTCTAGCTATTTTTAATCCTTTTATGACATTATTATTGAGAGCTCTGAGGAGTGCATTAGGCACTGGGTGCTTCCAGAAAATTTTAGGCCAATTGGAGATAGTTCAGAAAAAGGATCAAAGTTAGAAGTAATACATGGCTTACAAGGAAAGCTCAAAATAAAAAAGAAAGACCTCAGTTTTTAAGTATGTAAAATGCTACTGTGAAGAAATAAGGAGTGTATATTCCCAGTCCATAGTCTATAGACTCAGTTAAACTAATGCATTTAAATTGAAATAAAGGTGTCTTAGGCTACATGTATGGAAAACTTTTCAATGGGGGAACAAAGCACGGAACAGATTGAGTTTGGAAGGTTTTAAAAATCCAGTGTTCCTCAGAACTGCCAACAAGAAGAGCCTGTTGGAATTGCTAGGTACTCTTGTTCTTACTCTTATCTGTAGATATTTTTTTTTCAGTCTTTTGTATGTTTTGATCACTTAGTTTGATCTTATCTCATTATCTACATTTGTTTCTTTCCTTCTGTGGTGCTGCCTGGTGTTTTGGTTTTTTTTTCCCTGCCATGCTGTTTTTTTATCGGCTGATTTCTACTCATAGTTCAGGTGTAGAACAGAAAAACAATTGTTTCTCTTCCATGTGTTAGATGGGGTTTTTTTTGGTCTTGCTTGTACAAAAGCATACTTTCACAAAACACCTTTCTTCTCAGGGGTCACTTTTTCAGATCATCTTGTCTTGCAGGTGTCCACTGAGCTTAAGTTCTCTCTGCAGCTTCTCTCTTCCATCGCTACTTCTGATTTCCATCTGAACTCTGTCTCTGTTCCCAGCTGGATCTCTCATGTGAAACTGTGAAATACCAATTTGTAGTTAATGTACACTCTGCAACTTTTGTACCTCTTTATTTTGGTTGTCTGCAGGTTTTGGTTTCTTGTGCCTCAGGAACCATGACCATTTTAAAGTGAAGGGACTCCCTCCTGCACAACTCCCATTTCTGGTGCTCTTAACTTACTGGCCTTCTCATCGAATGCCCTCATTTTTAAACCTTTCTCCAAGATCTGTTCTGCATCCTGATTTAATATCAAGAGTTCACTCTGGTAGTTGTCCTGATCCTTCTGCATGTGAAATTACTGGCTTCTTTTGTTTACTTTTTCCTTGTCAGGCTGATGCAAAGTTAAAAACTGGAATGCTTTCATCCGATTTTGCAATCTTAGTGGTGGCAAGAAAACATCTTGGTCATCAAAGATTTTCTGAGTTAGTAGTAGATACGCTGACATGCTTTTGTCCTTCGTTATCAGCCAACAGTAAGAGTGTTACATGGAAATGAGCACCTTAATTCCTCTGGGCTGTTTCTCCTGGTCTAAATTTTGAGTGCTGCCTTTGCTTGCAAGTTGCTGAGATCTGGTTTTGTTCTTGTCTCAGTTTTGTTCTTGTGTCAGGTTTTTACACAGTTGTCTTTTTAATTGAGTTTTCAATAAAACTTTTATTTAAGATTTTATTTTTGCCATGAGAGAATGACTGTCTTGTGGGTGCATGTATTTTTCCAGAAAGGATATGTTGCCTGTTTGCAGCAAATAGAATAAAATTTCAATTGAGGAACCCTCTGTAGTTGCTGTTGATATACTCCTACTCTTTTCCACTCGGAAGGAAGAACCAAGGCGCTTCAATAGGGGAAGGCTGTTGGATGTCCAGAAATGATCCAGGAGATCCTTCACTGTTATTACTGAGTAGTACTAGAATAAGCCTTTCTTCTTTCTGCTCTATGTTTTATAATCAGAACTTATTTTTAACTCTAGTAATAATGGCATTTTTAGAAACCTAAGTAGGAAAGAGGATATATTTAATTGCTTTTAGTGTGTACAGTGTTTTCACATAGTTTTCAGTTTACTTTGTCAAGAAAGGTTTTCATCTTGAGCACTTTCTTGTTTCTTGAAGTAGGTTCAGCTGTTAATCATGGATGGTGGTTCTGCCAGTTCTACTGTTTGTTTTTTGAGGGGGTTTTGTTGTTTTTGGTTTTTTTTTTACTTTTCATCTTGTTACATTTTAGTGGCGGGGGGTTTTTATTTGAGATTTTCTTAATTGTTAGTAGTCTCTTCTCTCAGCCTGAGCTCCAATACCCTTCGTCATTCATTATCAAGTATGGCATGAAATAATGGAGAGATACTCCAGGATTTGCTTATCTTAAAAAAGGCCCAAATGAGTGTATTAATGCTGTCCTTTTACAGACATACAGCATTGCCATGGAAAAATTTTGTGTTCAAATAAAACAGATTTTGACATTAATTGTTACCATTGTTAAGAGAATTTTGTTGTTTAGCATACGTGATTATCCCTAACAGGAAAACAAACTTGCACTATTATTTTATTGATTATTAGTCAAGCATTTTCACTTTGGGGAAAATGTAATTTAGAAATACATCAGTATTTATAGTTAAGTATTTACTTTTTTGTTGTTTTCTTTATTTTTAGGGAAATTCCTTGGCACTTTTTAGTAATTCTGGTGACATTGAAAGTCACAAAAGTGAAAGACTCAGGCAGAGAACCCGACTGTCTGTACAGAGTGGGATGCAGTACCTTATTCTTTTAGTGAGGCTCTAGCAGGTCTGATGTCAGTCACTTCAGAGACCTTTAGACCTCAGTGCTCATTTATTGCTAAAATGTACCAGCTCTGCTCCTGCATTATGAAGATCATCTGTCAACACTTTGAGATATTCTCCTTTGTTATTAAGCTTGTGATGCTCTACACTGTCAGGTTTTTTGCCAATTATAGTTAAGGTACAATGGTGTATTCACTGGATCAAAGTCTCACACTGGCGGTAGAGGAATGATTTGTAAGTCTTTATTCATCTGAATTGTACAATAGAATACCTGAGGAATGCAAATAATCCCTCTAAGGACTCAATAGAAAAGCTGTTAAAATGACAGTCAAACAGTATTATTATTCTGAATTGGTGTTTTAGCCAAAGTAATTATTTCTTATCTTGTTGTTTCACAATAGTTCTTAGTTTATTAGTTATGATGACCATATTTACCAAACAGAATTTGAATCCAATTTTTGACCTTATTTTCATGCTCATTTCACTTTTTCAAGTTTGCATGTTTCATTCTGTCTTTCACTTGGTACATTATTTAATTAGTCTAGAGACTGGTGTTAGATACTTTCTTAAAAAAAATAAAACGGATGTAGGCACAGGTGCTGTAAGTACACTTATGAATAGCAGATCCATTTCTAGATACGTTTTCTGTAAAAGGTTGGCATTTATAAGCTCTGAACTTTGATATGCAGTTTGTTAGCCAAAATAAATTAACTACAAATGTGAGTTTTAGAAGTGCTGTTCAATGTTACATCACATTCAGAAATGCACCTTAACTATGATTTTCAGTGCAGATGTTTCTGAAGGCAATAGTGTTTCAGTATCAGTCCTGGATACCAGGCTATATTTTCACTGGATAACTGGAGGAAAAAAAGATCAGTATAATGAGGATTGAAAACCACTGATGGGGTATTTACATAAGTAAATGATAGAAGACCAGCCTTATATAACAAACGTGTGAAAACTGTTCAGTGAACTTTTATATTCTTTGTCCCATCTAAAACCCTACTCAGTGGGCCATGCACTTAATCTCATAATAGCTCTGATCCCCTGCTATTTTCTTTGACAAATGTGTGTTGATGAACTTGTGGTTCAGTTCATTTTTTTCTGAAGTGACATTTGCATTGATTACTTAAAGGTTTGCAGGCCACAGTTTCAAAGCACTTTAGTATAATAGCAGTTAAAACCTTAGTCTAAATCTTGGAGATTAGCAGGACTAAGAAAAAGAACTCGACAAGCATAAAACCCTGTGCTGCATGGTGGGTGCTTCAGGTCTGAAACATCTACGGCACCCAGAGTACTGTATTTTATACTTTGTGTCTGAGTGTACAGGGAATATTCCCATGCCTCTTGAGTATTTTTGCTGAGCGTACACAGTTGTCGTTCTACCATTCACACCTGTACAGAAATAGTGCCCTATAAATAACATTGAACTCCTTACAGGTAGATTTATTAAAGTCTCCCTTAAATTTAAAACAAATAGTATTTGCAGTCATGAACATGATGCGTGTGCTTAAAGATTGTTTAAACATCAGCTATTGCTGCAAAGATTTTCTTAATTTTTAATAGGATATTGAACATTCAAAAACTAGCACCATAAATCTGTAGCTCTAAATTGGTAGTTTCGTTCAACTAAAAAAAAAAATATATTAGATGTTATTGAAGATGAAGAGAAATAGGAAATTTGGTTCTTTATTTAAAAATAATAGTAGTATAATATCTAGAAGCTTTGTTCTGGGGAGGTAGTAGAAAGGTTGGAGAAACTAGTAGAAACGCAGCCCTGTATTTGTTAGCTATGGCATACTCCAAGGTCAGTAGACAGAAAAAGCAGGGTGCTGCTTGCTATCTAGGAGTTTATAGGATGTAGTAGTGTTCTTTTCTGTCTGCTAGTATCAGCTGCCCTAGACACTGAGATGCTCTTAAAAAAAAAAAAAAAAAAAAAGGCAGAGAAAAAACTGAAGGCCCCTCCACCAGTTTTACTGCATTTGATAAATATCAGTCTTGGAAGTCCCAGAAAGTGTATGTCCACAGATCTGCAAAGTTTTATTCAGTTAGCATTTTAGATTGCAAGTATTTAACCTCTACCAAAAAGCTAGTTATTGTGTCAAATTATGCCTATTTCTGATAGATTAAATGCCAAACAGAAACCAAGAAACAGTGAAATGTTAATGGAGTACACCTGAAGCAATTGCTGCCTGTTAATGCCTTGACCTTGGAAAGCAATACACAAAAAGATGGCATCATAAAACCGTGCAATTCTTATGAATATGTATGTGCTACTTGATAATAATGAATGTGGTACAGCCATGCATGCACTACAAGATAATGTTGTGCCCTTTGTTGTCTACAGGTTGATAAAAATTAAAGAGTGGGTGGACAAGCATGACCCGGGTGCTTTGGTCATTCCTTTTAGTGGGGCCTTGGAACTCAAGTTGCAAGATATGAGTGCTGAGGAGAAACAGAAGTATCTGGAAGAGAACATGACACAAAGGTTAATTAGCATTCATTTTACCTACACTTTATTATCAACTATTTCCTTGCAGTAATTTAATTGCTTGCGCTGATAGAATAATAAATGACAGAGTAATTACCATTATAAAGAGAGAATCTTCTCCTTTCTTTACCATGAGACAGAGTGAAAAGATTTATTTTAAATTAAGTTTTTAACTGTCATCTGTCATCTCTGTACTGTGTTTTAATTATAACAGAGATATTAGTTATGTATATTTTTGAGTAGGAATGATCACCAAAACTGTTTCGTCATCCATGGGGAATAGGGATGGTGTAGAAAATTTTGCCATAATTTTTCTGAAGAACTATAATAAATTGTTTCAATATTGAATTTCAGTCAAACAGTTATGCTTTCATGACCTGGAGTCCTGAAAATTGCGTGTGACCAAAAGTGCTGCCTGATAGGGTGATTTAAATTTATCCCATATTTCTATTTCTGCTGAAGAAACAAATGAAAATACTGTCTTTGTGATGCTGCAGTAAAAAAGTAGCTCTTCTGAAGAGAGTTCAAAGAAAGACTACTGTGATTATTGCTGTGTTTAGGAGTAGACCCGGTGTCTTCAAAATATGTGATGTCTTTCCATGTAAATTGATTACTCGGGGCATTTAGCTGTTATATGTTGAATGAATTGGATTTTTTTTTTTTTTCAGTGCTTTAGCAAAGATCATTAAGGCTGGATATGCAGCACTCCAACTAGAATACTTTTTCACTGCAGGCCCAGATGAAGTGCGTGCATGGACCATCAGGGTAAGATTCATACTTATTCATCAGCTATATCCAGTTCCACACTATTGAATTCAGATTGATATCACTGACTTTGAAGTTTGTCATGGTGGCGGTTAGCTAGTCATTACAGATGAGGTTTTTGTCCAGGATAACTTTAATTATTTGTGAGCTGCTGAACAGTGAAAGTGGAGCTGCATTGATTGAGGCAGGTAACAATTGATTCTGCCTATTACATAGTCTGAATTTCTTCATCCTGTAGAATCTGTCTACCCTCCTCCTGTGGTCAGAGATAAGACGTACCAGTATTGTGCTTGCTTAATCTGTGTGACTGGGTTTGTCTGCAGTGAAATTGATGTTGCTTTTCATTTTGTATTCACTAAGTTTGTTTGGGTTGCGGGTGGTTCATTCCTCCTTTGCTTTGCTCGGATTACATTTTCAGCAATAAAAGCAATATAACATCATTATAGTCCTCATGGATACACAGTTGGGCTAAAAAACCTAAAATCAGTGTGCAGTAATTCAGGTCTTTTACTGACTTTAATATTTAGACCTAGGTTATTTTGGTAGTTTTATATGTTTATCCAGGAACTTATGTAATGCTTAAAATTATGTTATAATTTTAAATATTGATGTAGAATTATTATAGCCATAGAGATCAACTAATTTATCCCCAGAGGACAGTAAGAGCTGAGCTGTAGTGGTTTGCCTTTGAATGTAAATATGTTATGTTACAAGTTTAGTATTGGAAAATATTTTGAAGTGCATGTAGTTACAAACTATTTTAAAAACTACAAAAATATCGACTTTTGGAGGTGCAGATCTGTCATTGAGCTGTTATTTTTTGCATCAGTGTATTTAGTGCTGTGCAGTGAATTTCAGTGCTGTATTTAATTTCATTCAATTGAATTAATTTGTTTTCATTACTCAATATAATTTCCAGTAAATTTATATTTTTATTAATACTGCTACAGATGTTTGTGTGTTTTACATGACTGCTAGCTAAAGTCCCTAGCTAACAAAATAATATAAAAGGAGAAGTTTTGTTGTTCTGATTTTTGCCATAGATTTTAAAAGCCAATTCTGAAATGCCACTGTTTTCAGTAAGAGAATGCCTGCTCTTTATTAGAAAATTTGAAAGCTGGTTTATCTTAAGACTGATTGTAAGTATCTTTGATTTAATGTGCAAAGATATTTAGTCAGGTAAGCATCAGTGAGTAGCCATATTAACCCAATACATCTTTTATTGTAAAAACTGTGCTTTACACTGTCAGACTCCTTAGCACTTTAACATGCTTTATTAAGCAGCCTTTAGGTCACCATTATGTCTGAAATTTCTTTCCATGGTTGTATGTGCACAGAATGTATGTCCTTGTAATTTAAAACATGCAGTTATAATGCATTCTCCTCTATTGCATAAACTTAAATTATCTTATAATAGTTGCCTGTGATTTTTTTTTATTTTTTAGTTATTCAATTCTTAACATTTTAGTAAGAATACTCATTTTGTTCTCTATTAGACTTACTAAAATTATTCTGAAATAAAAATAAGCTAATGTGCAGGGCTTGAGATCCATAAATAATTTTTTTATTACAAATGTGGTTTGCCAATGAGCGTTATCATTTAATTGAAATTATTTGGACATAAGTAAAAGTCTTGAGTAATTCAGATTTTAAAGTTATATAAAAATCTTTATTTTCCTCACTTTCTACGTGGAGAGCTAGAGATTGAAGTGAATCCCACAACAAAACACAATCATAGCTTCTAAAATCAATACTACCATTGATACCTATTAGGAAAAACAAAGCTGCCCTTCTTTAGTATCAGTTGGTTTATCTGTGGTGAAGGCATCTATCTGTGTGTCCCAATATTGAGAATTACCCAGCTGTATGCCTGACAATAACTGATAGGAAACAAAGTTTCAGCAGATCCTGAGAGCGTATCAAAAAGGAGAAACCTCTTTCCTGCAATCAATCTTCTTAAATGCAATTAATTTTCTTCTGGTCTTTCCTTTGACAGAAAGGGACGAAGGCTCCTCAGGCAGCAGGGAAGATTCACACAGATTTTGAAAAGGGATTCATTATGGCTGAAGTAATGAAATATGAAGATTTTAAAGAAGGAGGTTCAGAAGCTGCTGTCAAGGTGAGCTCCCCATCTTTTTCTTCTCCCTTCTTCCATGTGTGCCATTTTTCCATTTCAAGCCTGTTTTTCACTGAGAAGTTCTTGGTGTGAAGTGAATCTTAAGTCACCAAAATCTATTTTCATCTTTTACTTTGGAAAGAATTCAAATGCCCCAACTTACTGAACAGGAAGGCATCTATTTCAGTGTCCAAGATATGACAATTTATGGACTAAATCTCAACGTTGTGACCAAATGCTATGCTAAGTATTTTTATTTATTGCACATGTTAGTGTTCAGAATTTAATAAGCTTTAAAATGAACTTGGTTTTGAAAAATCAAATTTTTAAGATGAGATAGCATATTTTTTTAATCACTTGTGAAAGGAAATGCGAGAAACAGAAAATCTGTTTCTTCTAATGATGTGTCATCTTGTTTTGAGTTTGCAGGGAAGTTATTACAAATGTCAGATGCAAATATTTTAAGAAAATGTAGTATTATAAAAATGTATCCTTTTTTAAGGATTAGTGGATTCCACTCCTAGACTCTGATAGGCATAATTAGAATCTTAAAATTTACTATTTCAGTATTTAATTCAGTCACCCTTTGAGGTCTTATTCAAAAATGCCGTGCCCAAGTTTGATTTTTCAGGGTGTCAGTAATAGTACGTAGTCAACGAAAATATTACAGTAGGTGAAGTTTTCTAGCTACTATCTACTGAATAGACAGTGAAGATATTTAATGAAAAACTTTTTTTCTTGAGCTCACGCTTCTTTATAGTGACACTTCTATTAAGAAGAGGTTTATCTGCTTTCTCAACACTAGAGGGCAGAGACTGATTGGGTGCCCAAAGTTGTGCCCTTCTTATAACCGACAAATTATATCTGATTTGAAGTTATTAAATAACTTGTATGTGGCAAATAAATGTCATAAGAAAAGCTGCTGTTCTTTGTGTTGCTATTGCATTATTTCCACCTTCTTTAGCAGAGAAAGCTGCTTTTATTTCATACATGTTTGCTTGATGTTTTATTAAGATTTGTATTTTATAAAATTGCAATTGCAAAGCACATTAGTTTGATTTAATCCATCTCAGTATTTGAAGGTTCCTACACACTATAATGTGTTAAAGAATTTAAAAGATTTAGCTTTATTGTTTGCTATTTGATAGCTTGAAAGGTATGCAAAATTATGATTTCAGATTCAGCTTATTCTCAGTGGTATCACTAAGGAAGATCATACTGAGCAGCGGGACTTTAATAGGTTTGTTTGAACCCCAGGAAGTGAGGGGAAAAAAATCCCAGTATAATTGGTTCGTTGCGGCATGCGAACTGCCTTATGAAAAGGGAAGTAGAGTTATAGTTGTGAAGTGAAACCACAGCTATAAATAAATCTAATATTCTGCAGTCAGAAACCACTTTATGTAACCAAGATTCAAACAGTTTCTGATACTCAAATATGAGTGTTTTCCCTGAGAAGCTGCATCAGTTAATACCTGCTAAATTAATCTATAAGGGGGTTTTTTAGCTATTTTTATTTGCTTTTCCCAATGTAAGATTCTAGACATCAAGCTTCCATGTTCAAATTATATTTAGTGATTAAATTTTTGTTTTGAAGTATCTGTAAAGCAAGCATATTTGCATTTGTTAACTCAGTTCTTAAATCAAGGTTAGAAAAAAAACCTTGCCCTTAGAAAAATGCGATATATTACTCTAGTCTTTTCTAATTTGCATTTAATACAATGTTTCACGCCGTACACGGTACTAATTACTTTTATATTGCTGGTAAATTTCAAAATTAAATTTGGGAGCTTTAGGAGTCAACTGAAATAACAGTGCTAATGGGAGTTGCTTGCTTTGTATGTTATCAAGTTGATCGATTTTTAAGTTTGATTTTGTGTGTGTCTAACACCAGTACAGCATAACTAATTTAATGCCAGTGCTGTGAACTATACACTGAATAGCTCTGTGTGGGCTTTGTAGTCTACAGGGATATCACATTATTAGCAATCATATCTGCTTAGGCAAAGCTGGCTTCTACAGATGGCTGCTTTCAAGTGCAAATGAACTGGTTAGACGTGTCTTGTTTAATACATACTCAAGATTCACAAATGGGTATTGATTTTTTCAACCAGTGTTTCTGATAGCAATGGAAATGGATTAAATGGTCTCTGGAGAATTTAAAGGAACACTGTCACTTTTAATTAACTGTAAACTGGTAACAAAAATACATAAACTTGCATTAGTATGTCAAAATGTATTTAATTAAAGAAGTCTACGCCACTTTGACAGCGTGCAGTGGTGTGCTAAAAAATCCTCATTGTTACTTTGTGGAGGTCAGTTTTTTCTATAAATATTAGTGAGTAATAAATGTATTTGACTGTAAAATGTCTCTGTACCTGTGCCTGCAGCTTACGCTTGCTGATGACTTTTACAGCACTGTTTTATTAGTATTTATGCCATCAATTAGCCTAATTACTCTTGACTTTGAGCATTATTAGGATCTTCAAAGGAAAGAACTACTAAGTTGACTTGAAAGTAAACCTTTTATAGTCTATACAAATTTCCAAGTGGGAGAATATAAAAACATTTGCAAAGTCCTATATATTATTTATTGATAGTGTCATATGGGATAAAGGTCAATTACTATTGCACTATATATATATATATATATATATATAGTGGAGGCTATTTTATTGGCAAATTTCTGTAGGCTAGCATCACCGATGACAACATTTAAATAAGGAATGACAGCAACAAGGTTATCAAGCCTCTAAATTCTTAGACAGCAATATGGGGAAATACGTTGCTGTACAGAGCAGGTTTTGTGAAAGAGAGGTGTCCAAGTTAACTATGTACCATTAATCTGATCTGTTCTACTGCAACTAAGGTCATTAGTTAACAGCTTTCCTGTAATGGGATCTTAGCATGCCACCACTGTGATAGTGTCATTGAGAATAATGGCACAGTGAGGTCTTGCATGGAAGCACTTTCTCCTGCAAGAGAAAACTTCAAAACAAGAATCGTTATTGAACTAAAGCAGAAGCTCTCAACTTTTCCATGTTGTAGATCACTTTTCGAGATAAATGCTTCTGCAGACCACCTCCCGCCCAGTCTGTCAGTCCTAATGCCACAGCTTCTCTGTAGCCTCTGCAATACCAGGTTTAATTACAACAAGATGAAGATAGAAAAATATAATAATAAATTCTAATGCGGACAGTACTGATACTTAATAGTTCCTTGCCCATTTTCTGCTCTCCTTAAGTACAGCATTTTCATAACACATTTCCTTTTCATGTCTTTGGTCTTTATGCCTTCTCCTGTATCCTGGTTTCACAGCCTATCTGCTCTTATATATGTCCTTCTGAAGCAAATTTCTTCTAAAGGAAATTTCTGACAGAAAAACTGAGCCTGTATTTTGTGCTTCTCAGTGCTTCATTATCTGGGCACAAGCAGACAAGAGAGCCCCGCTCGAAACACGAGGCATGTACAGTCATGACTTTTGCATAGTGTTCCCATCTTTAGTTTTGACAGTACTTGCTTGTCCAGTCACTCAGAAGTAGTTAATATACCAGTTTAATAGCTGTGTAGCCATGATACAAACTGTTGTTGATCACCCTTTCCAGCAATACTGCTTTAGATTCCTGCTACCAGTGTTTGCCATCTGCAGGTTTTTTAGATGAAGAAAAAAGAAAGCCTGAAAGCTGGGGGGGGAGGGGGGGGGAAGGAATTGAGCTGTTTTAATGTCCTTTATCTTGAGACTTGCCAGGGTGTACAAATTTACCACTATATAATGCAGATGGCATTCAAGCACCACTGATTCAGTGGAGGTTAAATTATTTTTGTATATATCTTATAAGTATGTAAGGCAAATTGTGTCAAATTGAGGAGTATTGTGGCTGTCAAACTCAGAAGCTGAAGTAGTACCATTTATTTACCAAAATGTATTTAAATAATTATAATTTGAAAATACTATAAAATGTCTAATGAAATAACCTATTTTCCTTTTGTCTGTTCTATTTAGGCTGCTGGAAAATACAGACAACAAGGCAGAAATTACATAGTGGAGGATGGAGATATTATCTTCTTTAAATTTAATACACCTCAGCAACCCAAGAAGAAATGAATAGAAATAAACTGTGCTGCTTCAAAAAGCATATGAATTTTTATTTAGGATGGAATATCTGGAAACAGAAAGCATACAGTTTCTACCTAGGGAATCTCCCCTCCCCCCAGTGAAATTATTCTTGTTTGTTTTGAATTAAAATACGGCACCTCCAGCGAACATGCAAGTTCACTAAATGTGAACAGCTTTGCATTTCAAACGATTAAGACCCTACTCCAAATTGTAGAAGCTTTTCAGGAACCATATTACTCTCATGATACTTCATTAATCTCCATCATGTATGCCAAGCCTGACACGTTTGACAGTGAGGACAATGTGGCTTGCTCCTTTTTGAATCTACAGATAATGCATGTTTTACAGTACTCCAGATGTCTACACTCAATAAAACATTTGACAAAACCAGCCTTGGTGTGTTTGGGGATGTCTGTATTGACTGACTGTGGTGTGCTGAATGCGATACGGCACCTGGTGGATGCTGATTACAGAATTTTAAGACGTGTATGATACAGTAACTGGCAGTGTGGGGCAGCTGCAATTGTGTCTCGAAAGTGAGTCTTTCATGGGAATCAGAAGATTAGGATACCAATGATTTGTCTCAGAAAAGTTAATTTGTAGATGGACATTCACTGAAAGATGATAGTAAGGATAATAAGAATGATGCAGCATAAATGATTTTTACTGGAGAGAGGAAATATAGGTAGAAAAACCATGTTATCTTTGAGACTGAAGCTTTTTTATTCAAATAATTCTGAAAGTATTTCATTCTTGCCTTAAAATTGTTAAACGTGGAGGCTGAAGCAGTGGTGCTTGATGTTGTGTGTTGTCCTCTCAGGTCTGGTTTTCAGGCCAGCGGAGGGTGACGCAAATAGTGTTGTGAAGGAAGAGGCCATGCTGTGCTGGGTAGGTAAGTCGTTCTGCTGAAATAAGGCTGCAGCTGTGAGTACTTTTTACCCCTTTGACCATGAGGGAGAGCTGGTCTCTTTGGGTAACACACAAGAGCAAGTTGTTGGCAAAAATAAAACCAAGTTGGTACTTCTAATGCAAGCTGTAGAATTGCCCCTACTTGCAGTGTGTTTAATGTATTTAAAACAGCCTGACTTTTTCTGAAGTGCCTGTGGTTTCAGCTACAGATTCAGTGGGGTCAGAGCTGGGAGAGATGCTGATGTTACCTGCAGCTTGTTGGTGTGCCAGACCTCTCACGTTGCTTCGATAAATTTTCTTGCTATAAACTTTGAAAAGGCAACTTGCCTGTGGCTAACCTCCCCTCTGTGTTAAAGATTTTGAGAGCACTGGTCATGTCCTGTCTGAGGCTTCCCTTGAGATGCCACCTTTGAGCTTCATTGCTCATTTCTGAAAGAGTAAGACATGGGTCAGCCGGAGCCACGAGGCCCATTGTTGAAAAGTTGGCATCGTGCCTTTAACTGCACTGAGGAGAAAGAGGGGGGGCAGATGACTGCAATACCTAGTTAATTTTGTTTTAAAGAGCATTTCTTTTTCATAGTGGCAGAAGGGGGGGAGAGTATTGTAAAGTGGGGAAATTAGGACTTCAGATGTTTTGGAACCCTTGAAATTCTCTTCTGTATTGTCTTCCTGCTGTGGCTAGTGTTTGTTCTTGGTGTTATTTTGATGTTACATAATTGAGAAAAGATTAGGACCACCAAATCTCATGTTAAAAGTCAGATCCAAAAGAAAATGGAGCCTACTTGTTTCTCTTGGAAGTCAGCAAGATGCTAGTAACAGAGAAGAGCTCGTGCTGGGTTTTAGACACAGTAAAAGATGAGTCAGAAGTGGAGTATATGTGTTGGTGAAAGAGAAGTAACCTCTTCGCTGCACTAATACCCACTGAAGTGTGTTGTCTTGTTCTGTCTGAGGTTCGTTCTGGTTTCTAAAATATCCCCATTTTCCCTAATTAACATATCAGTGAAGAGGTTGTTAGAAGGTACAGCACAATTAATGAATTGCTTTTTGGTTTGCATCCCTTTGTTACATTTAGTAAGCCATATTTGTTCAGATTTGAAAGTGCATACTTCATGATACCTCCCTGTTCTAAAAATAAAGAGAATTAAAAATTGAACAGTTATTCTTGAGAGGCATGGGGTTTTGAAGCTATTATGGTGTACTGAAAGTAGAAAACAAACTTAAAATTTGCCACATCTTTAAAAATATATATTCCATAACGTTTTCTGTTTCAGCTTACTAACTTGCCTAAATAGTTTAGCTGTTTTAACTGATGTTCTTTTAACTACTGAAGCTAATCAGTTATTCCAGAATTAAAAAAAAAAAAATTCTTAAAAGAAAGAGTAATCTGGTAAGCACTATTACTCCTATCACCGGTGACTTGTGGCAACTGCCACATTAAATACGTGCAGCCTGTATTTCTCCTCAGTGAGTCTGTGCATTCAAGATGTACAGCTCTTAAAAACTTGTAGATATATGTACCAAGTTTCAAGCACACTGTTTTAAATATAATTCTGATTTAATTTAAGCCAATCATACATTATTTATGCATTTCAGCCTGCACAGGTGACCCAGGTGCAATCTATCCATCCTACTCATTTGCTATATAAGGGGAAAAAAGTGAAATCTGCCTGCATGCTCTTCACTAAGTCTCGGTGAGCTGCACTCACTGGGGCTGATGGTGATGAGTAGAAGGAGACATTTTGTTTCTCCAGCTGGAGAAGGATGAGAAAGCATTGTAGGCACTACTCTTCTGAAATACGGAAAGGGAAAGGAGGAGGAGGAGTACTAACCCTTCCTCTTAACTTGCATTCCTCAGTGCCTAATTACCATGGCGTTGATGGCACGTTTCTGGGGTTAAACAAGTGCTAGTGGAACAGGGAAATCGCTGCTACCTGCCTCCAAACTGACCAGAAGAGAGTGCCTGAAAGTGCTGGGGAGATGTCAGTGGAAGCAGCTGTGTCTGCACTGGCATGTGGGGTGACTGTAGAGTAGGAGTAGATCTGGAGAGCAAAGCGGTTGGCATGGAGGATCTGATGTTCCCATGCCATGTATTTGAGGGGCTACCTCACGCTAGTTGCAGGTTGGTCCCATGAGGAGTTAGAGTGCAGTTTTCACTTCAGTCTCAAGAGATAAAAGTACATTCCTGGTCAAATGAAAACATTGCTGTAGACAAGGAAGGGCTTACTGCTGCTGTCTTTTATTGGCAGCATCAATAGTGATATCTAGGTGATGTGCTTCAGCACCCCAATGCGTGACAGTTCAGACCGCTAAGAAGCACAAAGAAGAACAGAAATTCAACTGTTGAAGATTATTTGTACCCGTGGGTACGTCTCGCGTAGGATGGAGCTTTCTGTCCTAATCAGCGTTTCACAAAACAGCACAAGGGGAGCAGACTTGGGCTTTGTGTGTGGATTAATATCTCAGATAAAACATAGTATTGTTTCTATAGTATGCTACATAAAGTAAAACAGTGGGTGTGCTCAGTGGTCAGTGATGAAGTAGCCACCTAACTGCTGAAACTCAGGTGTGTTTGTCTGGCTATTTGAAAATGGAAGTAAATGTTTTAGGAGGATAACAGCCACCAAGAGGTGGCTGGCCATCTCTCGGCTGCTGTCTGAGCATCTTTGGGGTCGGAATATTACACAGAGGAACTGAATGATTTCCATGTCTTCAGAAATTCAGTGCTCAGGCTAGTGTGGGTAAGAGGTTAAAACAAATACTTATTTTATATGTTTGAGCTGTGCACTTCTTGTCTCAAGATGATGTGGATGCTGAAGGTTGGCAAGGGTTCAAAATGCTTGGACAAAGCCATGGGGGAAGAAAAGGGGGTTGACTGGGGGGAAAAACCCCAAATTGTTAAAGGTATCACCTCTGCACTTGGACTGTCCTTAAGTCACAAATCACTAGAGGAAAAAAAAAAACAACAAAAAAACCAAAACAAACCAGAACAACTTGTATGTATGTATGTATGTATGTATACCTTGTCTCTGTCAGGCATCTTTTGGCCACTGTCAAAAACCAGGATGCTGGACTGGATGGGCCTGTGACCCAATACCACCATTCTTGTCTTCTCTCCAAAGCAACTTTTCTTCAACAGCTATTGCCAAACACCAGTAAAGAGCATGATCTCCTTAATGTCCTTCCTAGTTCTGCATTTTGATTAAAAAATGTTGTGTTTGGTTTTTTGGGGGGTTTTTTGTTGTTTGTTTTTTTTTTTAAAAGAAGAGTATTGTCTTAACTTAATGCTTATTTGCTCTTTCATTGACCGTGTCCAGCCCTGTAGAGGTGGTAGCATTATCATAGTGGGTTTAAATGATTTATCTTTCCTTAAGGATCCTTTTGTGCCTGCTGCAGGTTCCCACCTACCTCTTCCCCTTCATCACCCAAGCTCACCCTGATCTCCTCCCAGACCATGGGGCCTGCTTGGCCAAGGAGTCTGTATGCCAGAGCGCCTGCTTCAGAAACACCTTGTCATAAGCTGCGTTTTCCTCTCTCTGCTCCCACGGGAGGAGATTCCAGCTGGAGTGGCTGCGCTATAGCAGGGGTAGCTTAGCTGAACACCTCCTGGTGCTTTATTGATGCTGCTTGTGATTGCTGGGCAGTGCAGTGCCTGCCGTGGGGTTGCCATGGGGCTGCCGAGCCTGCTGTGCCCCTGCGTGGGGCAGCCAGCCAGGCAGCAGCCCCCTGGCATTCAGCCTGGTGCCTGCCTGCTCCGCTCCTCCTGCCTCCGTGCCAGCAAGCTGGGAAACAACCCTCGTAGCTTCAAAGGTATCAGGAACGCGCTTTCTTGGTGCAGCTTTTTGTGTTCTTGTGGCTGGCAGGCTTGTTGGACAAGTGGAACCATCCTTGTTGGAACCATCCTTGCAGAGCTCCTGTGGCTGTCAGCAGTGATGCTGCATGCCCCGTTCCGGCCGGTGCTTCAAACACTGGGCATTTCTCCAAGCAGTTGCAGGACATAAAACTGCACTTTGGGAGAGCAATGTGCGTGACAAGGTTTTCAGTTTTAAAAATTTTAGCTAAGTTTTAACATTTCTCTCTACTCATGAACTCGCAGAGGATGAGGGGGAGGAAATTATTCTAAATTAGTAATTGTTTAAAACTAATAATCACTTGTTTGAATGTTTACTCCCCCCATGCTAATTCCATATGTTTGATTATGCTAATGCACCATTTCACTTCAATTAAACCACCAGAGGCTTTGAAAAAATAGTACTAATGGAAGTGGTGGTATTCATCACAGTATCCCAACGGACTGAAATAGTGGTGTGCTAGTTGGGCTTGAAAGTTTTGAAGTAAATTCTGTGTTTCAAGGCTGTCTGTGAAGCAGTTATGTCTTGGCTTCTATCTCCAGGTAGTGCCCGTTCCCGCCCCATGAGAAGAGACACATATGGCAGCGTGTTGCATATTGTGAAATAAGTTACATGTGTGTGCTTGCCGTCAGA